ATGAGAATGGAGGAGGCAGAAGAGCTTTTTAAGAATCCATCTGATGTACTTTAAACCCCCTTTATGGATGATCATTTCTTTTTGTCTGCTTTTAGCACAGGCCTCTTTAAGAATTTGATAAAAGCTCTGGGATCCTCTGTAGAAAAAGACTTGTGCAGAATTTTGCATGTCCTGAGGAATCCCAGAAGTACTTTAGGATAGAACCCCAAACTGAACCTTAAGCCTGAGGGTGCTAAGTTGCTGGAGGCCTGTATAGATCCAGAGCTTATAAGGATGAGCCAAGTATCCAGACATAGGATGGTGTGGAGGTCTAGTCAGGTGGCCCCAGCATGCACCCTGATCCCAGCTGAGGAAACTCTGGATACCTGGCACCTGGGCTGACCCCCCACAGGGCTGTCCCAGGCCAGAGGAGGATACATGAAGGTGGCCTTGTTGTCACCCCTTCTTGGGGACAGATCTGAGGCCCATTCTTACCTACAATTGTCTGCCAGACTCCCAGAGTGGCACCTCCCTCAGGCGGCTTATGCCTAGTCCTAGGTGTCCCAAATTGACATACCTTGGAGCACCTGGGCCCTAGTAAGTCCCTGTTCTGGCCATCAACTGGGCTCCCTGTGACTTGGCCTTGGTCCCACAGGATGCCTATGACAATGTGACCCTGGATGTAGAGCTGGCTCGTCGTGAGGGCTGGTGTTTTGGGGCCAAGCTGGTACGTGGTGCATACATGGTCCAGGAGCGTGCCCGTGCTGTGGATCTTGGCTATGAGGACCCTATCAACTCTACATATGAGGCCACTAATGCCATGTATCACAAGTGAGTCAGCCCTTGTGTCTTGTTTCCTGGGGGACGTGGGGAGTGAGGACTGTAGAAGACCACGCTGCTAACCCCATTCAGGTCTCCTTCAGGGCATAAGTGATATTTCTTCTGTTTGTCATTTATTAAAAAACATGAAGGCTTTTCTTTCTTTCTTTTTTTTTTTTTTTGGTACTGGGGATTGAAACCAGGGGCACTCTAAGACTGAGCTGCATTTTAAATAACCTGGGTTGTGTTGCATGGGGTGAATGAGATAGGCTACACCAGGGAAACACCTCTTTTTAAAAAGAGGTGTCTACTGAACAAAACAAAAACTGGCCTTGATCCCCACAGCTGTTTTCTGTTGATACTTAGTGGAGAAATGTGCAATGAGCCCAGGGTGCCCAGCCCTCCCCATGATAGTGTCCCTACTATTTGCCTTTTAGTTCACATGGTGGGAATGTTAATGGTTGTGCACCTGCTATCTTTGCTGTTTATCTTGGAGATCTTTTTGTGTAGCACAGGCAGTCAAAAATCCAAAAATCAGATTTTTCTCTGAGGTTTTATGTTCTTGTTGCAAATTCTAAGGGACCCTGAGTGTCTCTTTGCTGGCTGCAGCTCCTTTCCTGGCAGCACAAGCCCATTGTGCACATCTGTGCAGTGTACGTGCCATGCCCATCAATGTTTACACAGTACACTCTGTCCTTTGCTCTTGTTTTTTTTTTTTTTTTTCATTTAATGGTACATCTGGATCCTCCTGTGTCAACAGAGTGGTTCTATTAACAGTGGCACGTGTTTAATACAGGTGCACAAAGTTATGTGTCCAGGGTCTATGATCTTTTCTGGTTATTGTAATAGGATTCACTGAACATCTCGTCCTCCTCATGTTGTATGCATCTGTTGTTACAGGTTTTGTGTCTTAGGACACAGTGTCACAAATTCCTGGGTCAGAGAAAATGTACTCCAACCCTGATGGTTATCCTCACTGCATGATGACCATACTGTTGAGAGTCTTGCTGGTGAACAGGGATGCTTACCCCACACAAGGCCCCCTGGCATCACTTCCTTTTATTTCCTCAAAGGGCTAGGAAGCGAACTGTAGGATCCCTTCCCAGAAGCAAAGCTGCAGGTTCAGGCAAGCTCCCTCCCAGCCCTTGTGCAGTGACAGTATGATTGATGTGAGGAAGTCGCACCTTAGCTAGTTCTTTATGAACTGTTGAGTCCAAGCTGTTGCTCAGTTTTTCTTGGCTGTTGATCCTTCCCCTTTATGAGGTGCTGAGGAATGGAGGGCCAGGACCTGTTTTTGTTCCTCCTGATGCTGTGGGTAGGTACCCTTGGGAGGAGCTGCTTACTGGATAGCTCTGGGCCTGCAAGGTTAGCAGTGAGGGGTACAGGCCTGGGGCCAGGCTCACATGGCACTCTCCCCAGGTGCCTCAACTATGTTCTGGAGGAGCTGAAGCACAATTCTAAGGCTGAGGTAATGGTAGCCTCCCACAATGAAGACACCATTCGTTTTACCCTGAGCAGGTAGGTGCTACTTGTACTGGGCTGTTGGGTTCTCCAAGGCTGGGGAAAATTGTCAGCACTCCAATGGTCAAGGAGCTCACAGTAACCCATTAGGTGCTATAGGATAATATCCATGGAACAAGCTGGTATGGAGTATTTAAGCCCTCTGGACCTAGCTGGTATTCTTGATGATGCTCTGCCATTACTTTAGATTTTAACATTAATCTTGACTTTAATTAAAATTTCAAGTTCAAAAAATAAATTGTTTTAGGTGATTTAAATGCTTCAATGAAATGTCTAAGGGTGATGTTAAATCTCAGTGCCCTTCAGGAGAGCTTTCTGATGTGTTGCCTCATCTGTAAACAGTTTCCATTAACATTTTAAATTGCATTTAGAACTTAATACAGTCTGTTTTCTCTTTAAATGCTTGTCCCATGGAGCACAACTTTGGGAGAAATCTAACAAGTCAAATACAGAAATAAGGTGAAGTAAATTCCTAAGTATTCCAGAATTTTCACCATGGTTCCATCTCTCACACCTAGACCCCAAAGTGCCCTAAGGTATAGGTGTATGTATGGGTATTCTGGAGTACAGGTACAGATGTGCCAAATCAGGATACCTGATACAGGAAGCTAGTGATGAAAACATGAGAATCATCAATGTGTAGGTATTTTAAAACCCAGAAAGTTCTGTATGATCCTATTAGGGATGGTATGACAGGAGAGGGGGCCAGATAGTTGGGGGTCCCCACCCTAACATCGGAGCTTTGATGATAAAAATATAATGTGAGCCACAGATGTAATTTAAAATTTTCTATTAACTATGTTAAAAGAAAAAGATGAAATTATTTTCCATATTATGTTTTAGGACTGAGGATGCACTTGCCTAGCATGTCTGGGGACTTGGGTTCTATCCCCAATAACACACACACACAAATTTTCATTCTTTTTTTGTACTAAATCTCCCACATTCCATATTTGACATCTGGCAGCACATCTGAATTCATACCAGCTACCTTCTAAAGACTTGGGCTGCTGGTGGCTGTATATGGGATAGAACAGCTGTGGAGATGGGATGGAGGAGCAGCCAGCAAGGGGAGGACAATGGTTGGAGGGGACAGAAGACCAGTCACCAAGCAAAATCCCCTTGGGCTCTAAGACAGCCCAGAAGCTTCCCGGGGTCAAGTGCAAGCTCTTGGGGTGGGGTGATCAGGGGGTCAGAATGTAGAGGTGTGGGGGAGGTAATGGAGAGAAAGAAGGGTTGAGGAAAGGGGAACAATGTTGGCCAAATACCAACACCTACCCAGGGAAAGCCTCCCTCTAGGAGTAGGAGGGAAGCCTAGCCTAGTCTTGCTGGCAAGACTTGGTTGGGGGGCAGGGCAGAACTCAAATGCTCAGCCCCACCCTGCATGAGATAGATCCTGGAGGGAAGGGGTTAGAGTCTGGGTGTGGCAGAAGGGTCTCAGAGATAAGACTGGGGCCCTCTACCCTTCTCCTAGGGCAATAGCTTAGGGTTGACTCCTTACCAGCCTGGTCTCATGTGTTCATAGGATGGAGGAACTGGGGCTGCATCCAGCTGACTACCAGGTGTGCTTTGGACAGCTTCTGGGCATGTGTAACCAAATCAGCTTCCCCTTGGGTGAGCTGGGCATTCCTGGGTGGGGTGGGGTTTGGGGGACACCCTGGTGGGGAAGCAGAAAGTGGAAGTCACACCTGTGTCCCTGCTGTGTGTATAGGTCAGGCAGGCTTCTCTGTATACAAGTATGTACCCTATGGCCCTGTGATGGAGGTGCTGCCCTACCTGTCCCGTCGAGCACTGGAGAACAGCAGCATTATGAAGGGCACCCAGCGGGAACGGCAGCTGCTGTGGCAGGAGTTGTGGCGGCGGCTCTGCACTGGCAGCCTTTTCTACCGCCCAGCCTAACTGCTGTGCCACCACCATAGTTACTCTACCACCTGCTGCCATGGTTATTCTGTGACCTCCCAGAGCCCTGGGAAAAGGAATTTAGGGGGTGTAAGTCTGGGTTGCTCCCAGGCTATCACCACCAGATTTGCCTTTTTATACCCAAGAATTTGAAACCTGTTGGAGGTGGGGAGGGCTGCCTTAGGTGGTTCCTGCCCCACCCAGGATGCAGATATTCAGGCCTAGGCTGAGTCTGATGCCTGCCTGAGTCAAGGTATTGTCTAATGAGTGGGCCTGGGCCCCTACCTCTTAGTTTAATGGAACTGTCTGCTGCCAGGGTCCAACCCATATACCTGAGCCTCATGGGTGGGTAGTAGTGGTCCAGCTGGAAAGCCTGCCTGGTCAATAAACTAATATTCTACATCTGAAAACCCTCAATTCTACCATGGTGCCCTTACATGAAATTAGCTTGCTCTGGGCAGCATAGAGGGAATGGCTTGGATGGAGAAGTGTCACTTTCAAGTTCTAGAGATCATTTCTACCACGGATGGGACAGGATATACTTCCCAGATGTCTTCAGTGCAGACCTAGCCACCCATGACTTCAAAGTCCAGACTTGTAGTCTACACACAGGCAAACAGATGATGGGACTGGGCATCCTAAAAAGAGGGGAGCCCCAGGAAAGGTCTCAGCCACACTGTGGTGGCTGCATCAGATGGGTACTGCTCTCTGCTGTCTCCAACACTGCCACAGAGCTATCAGGAAAGGACTGTACGTGGGTTGTGGCAGAAATGAGACACATACCAAGTGCATGGGCCTTTATTTCTTTGGATCACAGGATTTGTGCATTGGAATTCTTTTTATTTGGGGGCTTCAGCTGCCAAAGGAGAGGCCAAGACCAAAACAAACTCAAAACCTGGGACCTGGCAGAGGTTGGGATGTGCCCATGGAATGGGGAAGGTATAGAACCAACAACCCTGCTCTCCACCAAGCACTGGGGGAGACAGCTGGTAGGCTAGGCCTCCCTCCTTTTCATGACACCATCCTAGTGCTTACACAAAAAACCCAGGCAAAGGTGGGTGACAGGTGCAGCCAGATGAACCTGGCTTGATCTTAGAATGGTGATGCTTGCTGGCAAATGGCCAAATACCAGGAAGATAAGTTCTTTGCATCTTTCTGATGATGGTAGACAGGGCTGTATTCCCAGCAATGCTGGTAGTGGTGGCCAGCAGGGGTCCCCACCTGATCACAGGGCTGTCTTCCCTGTCTGGCAGCCCCTTTGTTGCAGCTTCCGGATAAGTTCCAACAGGTTCATCTGTAGTGTCAGCTCCTGGAATACAGAGGGATCCTCCTTGAGGGCCAGATGACACCTGGTGCTCTTCCACCCTGGCCTAGAGGCAGATACCAGGGCCTACAGGCTTACCTCCTGTGGGCCATGGGACTGGCCTCCAGGTTCTTTCTGGAGTCCCACTTCCTTGCTATCCCCACCTCTACCACTGAACCTGAGCCTAACTCATCAGGGACCAGGAGTACAATCCTAAATGTATTTGGCCTTCAGGGACCAATGATAAGGGCTGCAGCAGGGCCAAGCACTGACCTGTGGGTTGGTAGTCACATAGAAGCCAGCTACCCCTGCCTTCTCGAGTGTGCTCTGCTGGTCAGCCACTTTCCGGTCCAGCTCCAGGACAATCTTCCGGTCCATTGCATGTTGTTCCTCCCGGATCCGATGCTCTACTGCCTGCCGCAAACAGAGTGAGGGTGGCTCCAGGCTCAACCCCCCACCCTTCAAAGCCTCAAACACATGATTTTGCCTGCCACTTCCTCTTGAGTACCTTGCCCATCCCCAGTGACACTGGCTCCAGGACCACAGGTATCCTCACCACACCCAGTCCTCACCCTTCTCAGCCTCACCAGAGGTTCTAAGAGGCTTCCCCCAAAAGCCCCAGCAGCCTTGGACCTAGTGTACATCTCTGTAGCCACCACCCATACTCTCCCATGGCTTGTTGATTATGTATGTGTCTCCAATTGACTCTGAGCTCCCTGGGAGAAGGATGGACCCCTTTCTGGCTATCCCTGTCACTCCACCATTGTATTTGCATGCATGAGGCCTCAATGTTCCCCATCAGCGCCTGCTCTGTGTGCACCCCAGCCCACAAGAAGCTACTGTTTTAGAGAGTAAGAGAATCACAGCTGGGCTTTCACTCCCCACCCAGCCCTGGCCCATGGCAAAAATCCTTGTGTAGGCACTCACCAGACCTCTGGTCAAGACTCAGAATAGCTGCAGCTCCTGAGCCACCCTGAGCTCTATTAGCAGAACCAGGTAGTCCCTGCAAGGAAGAGCCAGGCCTGGCCATCCCATCCCTGTCCCCTACCTCTAGCTCCCGATGCTGAGCTGCCTGGAGCACAGGTAGGTTGTGGGGCCGGCAGGCTTGCTGGGCTTCTAAGTGCTTCTGCCGTAGGGCCTGCCTGAGAACTGGGAATGGAGTTGAGTCATTAGGAATAGCAGGTTTTGGGGAGAGGGGAATAGACCCAAAACAGGTAAGAACGGAGCCCAGAGCATACCTCAATCCTTCATGTCTACCTCTTCAGCCAGGCCTAAGGATGGGAAGCACCACCTCATGATCCCACCCTGCCTTAAGCTCTATGTGAAAGAAAGCTATGTGGAGTCTCAGTTCTCCTAGGTCTGCCCTCACCTAGGGCACCTTTCTGCACATCCAGGGGACTCCAGAAGGTACAGGGAACTGAAGGAAGATGGAAAAGGGAATGTTGGTATAGGGTTGAGATCAGAGCTACAGCCTAAGCTTGGAAGACCAAGGGTGGTTGGAGGAGGTGGGTGGGTGACTGAGGTCTGAATGCTTATAGGCTCAGATGATAGAGTTTTAGTTGTGCCCTGCCATCATATATGGGAGACCAAAAGAGATAAAGGACTGGGAAAGGAAGGGAAGAAGATTGCTGACTGCCAGCTGTGTGGCTGTGCTGTTCCTTCCTTGGTAATGCCCTTCAGGGTAATGGAACTACCCCTCCCCATTGGCATCTCCCAGGTATTGTACAGCAGCCAAAGAAGGGAGAAGGGTGGGTATAGACCTGGGAGGTCCCCATTTGGGTTAAGCCTGAGGTATCAGGAGCCAGCAGAAGTTCTGTGCTGAGGAGTTTATGTTGTTCCAAAAGGATTTCACCTTCCACCACTGAGCAAGGCTCCATGGTCCCTGCTAAATCATGCCACACACATAGATGGGTGCAAACTGTCCACTCTGATGGGCTGATCAGAGGAGGACAGGAGCACCAGATGAATATACAGCCAATGCCCTACACCTTACTGGTCTAAGTATCAAACAGTCATGCCTCCCCAGCAGGGAGGGGTTGCTGGCAGGACAAGAAAATGCAAAACCCCACACTCTCTAGGAAGAGCTCTCATGTGACAGCTTTTCTCATGACTGTCCCTGAGGTTCCTGGCAGGTAACCTGGCCCCTGCAGTGCATATAGCCATCTCCAATCCCATTTCCTGGCATTCTCTATATACCACAATGGTGATAGTTGTCACAGTAAATGTGTTTGAAATCAGAAGACACCTTCAAAACACCTCCATAAACACAGAGGCAAGAAAGACACTCTGGTTTTCTGGTTATAGTTTACATTAAGTGGAAGCAGGACAAAGAGCACAGATAAATGCAGGGAAATGTCATTTTCTTCACTCCATTTATCAAATGTTGCTATAAATCCCAGGCAAACTCCCAGATTCCACTGGTAAGCAAAAGAAAACGTTAAGGAGAGAGCCATACCAACTACCTGCTGAGAAGGGGCCTGGCTTTAGGAATGCCTAAGGAAAACAAAGGCCAATTACCACCTGTTAAAAATTATTTGAAGGAAAGGCAGAAAGTCCGAACAAGCATGTTTTCTGCTGGCCATACCAAGACCTTGCTCAAGCCTTCTGAAGGACAAGACAAAGGTTCTAGAGAGTTACCAAAAACTGTCCCACTTAAAAGCAACCAGGATTCTATGAAGAAATAGCTGAGTCCAGGATTGAGGCAAGGAAGTGCTGGAAAAATAATGGGAATACATCAGATAGAGACAGCCCGAAGCTCTCAACATGGCAAACATGGCACAATTTGAGCATTAAAAAGAATAAATTAGGAGCTGCGGCTGTGGCTCAGTAGTAGTGCACTTGTCTGACATGTGTGAGGTACTGGGTTCAGTCCCCAGCACCACATAAAAATAAATAAAATAGAGGTATTGGGTCCATCTACAACTAAAAAAGTATTAAAAAAAAGAATGAGCTATGTATTTTGAATCTGTGAGCTATGTATACCTTGTACGTCAATGAAAATGTTTAAAAATACAGTTGCTCAAGCATTTAAGGAAGAAGTAATACCAACTCTTCACAAACTCTTCTGGAAAACTGAAAAGGCCACTTCTCAACAAATTCTAAAAGGCTATCATTACCCCAATGCCCAAACTAACTAAAATATTACAAGGCAACTACAAACCAATATCTTTCATGAACACAGAGGCAAAACTGCTTAACAACATTTTAGCAAGTCAAATCCAAGATAGACAAAAATTATAGTACATCATGACTTATCCCTAGAAGGCAGTTCATCTCAGGAATTTAAAAAAAACAATGTAATTCACTGTAGTAATAGAAAATCCACCTGATCACCTCCATAGATGGAAGAAAAGGACTTAATAAAATCCAACATCCGTTTTCAGTAGTCATAGATTAATCCTGGGGCACATGGACATTGCCTGCCCTCATGGGGAAGGAACCTTGCAACACTAGGAGGATTTTTTATCCTACATCTAATCAGGCCTCAATCTGCTGTCCAGTTTACAAAAAACAACAGTGTGGAGAAACAGGTTAAATGATAGCATGAAGAAACAATCAAACAGATGCAGTACAGGGACATTTTACAGGTAGAATGCACCGGATTCTTCAAAAAGTCAGCCTCTATAAATGTTAGGAACTATTCCATAAGAGATCTAAGTAATCAATTGCAGGATATGAACCTGGACTGGATCCTTAATTATAAAGTGACAATTTGAGACCTGTTAGGTAATGTGACTATGACACCTGGAATGGTTCACTGTGGTTGTGTAGGAGAACATTGTTCTAGAGCACTGTTTCAGTTCTCTCAGGGTCAAGGTTTGACCCTAGGGCTGTCTGCAGACATGTCTGATTGTCTTGACTAGGGAAGGGTGCCTCTGTCATCCTGTGATGCACAGGACACTATCTCATCATAAAGACTCACCAGTTTAAATGTCAACAGTGTTGGATTGAAAATCCTGGTATAGTGGAATGCTGAGGACTTCTGGTGAAGTGCTCAGGTGTTACATAAACGAACTATGGCAAAATATTGTTCAATCTAGGTGGAGAGCAAAATGGTATTTATTATACAGTTCTTTCAAATTTTCCAAATGTTTTAACTCTTTTTTTATAACAAAGTTAGGAAAAAATAAAATAGCAAAGGTAAAAATATGATGGTGTATGGAGAGCTCCCTATTATAATTTTCAGCAAGGGGCTCTCAGCCTTGATGGGGACGCACAAGAGGAAGCAAGCCTGTGGATCAAATGGAAAGCTGTTGGAGTTGCTGAGGGTGCTATAGGGTTCAGAGCTTAGGAATTCTATGAACAGCTGGTGTGGTGCCCTGTAAGGCCTTTGAGGGAACTGACCCTAGAGTGCTGCAGAGATGTCAACGGAACGTATGGGGTATGGGTGTGGTCAATGGCCTCCACGCAAAGTCCTTGGGCCTTCTAGTTTAGAAGTGGGCGGAGAAACAGGGTATCCTAAGCAGGGGTTTCTGGCTTTCTGTCAGGCTCAGAAGGAGGTTGTGCAATTAATACTGGCTTGATTCAATGGCCACCAAAAAGACACTACGGAAAGCTCTGCATCCTTGATCTGGTCAACCTGAGGTGTCTCCTGCGAGGGACCCTTAGGAAACCTACAAAGGTCAAGCACTCCTGGGGCTGGCCGACCTGGAGAAGGAGTTTGCGTTCTCCCGCCACCCCTCCGCACCTCGGTGTTCGTTCTGTAGTCGTAGACGCTGGTTGTAGAGGCTCTTTTCGGTGAGATGCTGTATCTCCAGTAGCCCCTGCACAATCTCGAAGACGGTGCCGTCAAGGAGCGCCAGGGCTAGGTCGCTGAGAGTGGTATAGGACAGGCGCTGCTGAAAGGAGCTGCAGGCAGAGCGGCGCGGTGAGCGCGGGCGGGTCTTGGGCCACTTAAGCGGCCCGCCCCGCCCTCCGCTGCGCACCTGGGTAGCTCTTTAACCAGGCTCTGCAGCGCCGACAGCAGTTGGTAGTGCTTTTCTTGCTGTCGGGCCCCGTCCACCGACTCCTCCAAGGAGCTGGCGTAGCGCTCCATGGCGCTGGCCACAACAACGATACCAGCTCCCTTCACGTCAGCTTTGAGCGCGGTTCGCTCGACCTCTTTTACGTCATTCTTGAGCGCCGCTCGTCTGCCCGCCTGCGCGTCCCTCCCCTTGCGTCAGCCCATACCCGCTTTCTAACATGGGTGTCTTAAATCTCACAGCGTCTGGTCAGTTGATCCTGCCGCCGATCCTGCCTGGGTATCGGGGTATTTCAAAGAATTCCTGTCCGGTTTACACAGAGTCTGCGCGCACCAACTCTCCACCCCCTCGCCCGTGGAAGGCGCGAATTTTAAGACTTGGCTCTTTCTTCACCAGTGGTCCAACAAAGGAAGCCCAGTGCTACTGTCCACAGCCACCTCAGCCTCATGCCATTTCAGGTCAAGCAGTGGGGTGGGCTTGGAGTCTGCGTTCCCTTTCCTGCTAGGGTTTAGACTGTGATAAAGGACATCACTGGAGCTACTGATACCTCCTGTTACCTTGAGGAGTCCTTGCTTCCCCAAATACACCAGAGATGCACTCAGAGGCAAGTGTAGAGTGGAAAGTAAAAAGCTTTATTAAAGGATAGCAGAAAAGACGTCCCCTGAAAGGTGGAATCCGTAGGCTGGGGAAGGCTCATCCCTTTTGTTTCTAAGGCGTTCTTTTGTCCTCCTACATTCCTGTTTTTTATCTTATTTCCCTTTGTCTTGCATGTTGGGGGATGTAGACGAGAGGAGGCCAAAAGATGGAAAACATCTGGGCCTTGGAGCAGGAGGGTGGGGGGAGGAGTGATTAGGGCCAGAAGGGCCTAGGGTGAATTGATTAGCACC